ATTACAAAAAAAAAACAAGACATTTCGATCATGGATTACAAAAAAAAAACAAACATTTCGATCATGGATTACAAAAAAGTCGATCATGTATTACAAAAAAAAAAAAAAAAAATTCCATACGGGACTCGTTGATTCACTGTTCGGACTCGCCGATTCCGTACAGTGAATCGGCGAGTGACTGTACAGAATCGTCCGGTTCTCTCTAGAACCGGACGAATCCCATTTTTTTCGTCGATTTGATCCGTCCATGGCGATTTTCGAGTCGAATCGGGCGAGTCCGGTTCGATTCGGCGTTTTTTTAAACGCTGATTCGTACTATTGGAAAGTAAATTTGAGATAAATTAAGGGGCTATTGATTATCATTGATGGAGGACTCAGTCGTCATATGCTATAAAATAAGATTATTATTTTTTTAAAAGGTTATAATTTTTATTAATTAAAGCAAAATAAAAAATATTTTAAAATATATTATTTTAAGCTATAACTTACCCCATATAATTGAAAAAACAACTCGGCCTATTTTAAGCAGCACATAGCAATTGAAGCTCAGTAGGAGGTAGCTTTTCGGTCTTCCTGCAAAAAAGCTTAGAAGTGGATATTTGAGGAATTTTATACAAGAGAGGGAAATGTATAAGGGCATTTTGGAGGTTTTTTTATGGGAACCAGTACAAAAAGTTTGCAAATAGTAAGATACACATTCATCTCACGGTTCATGTGACACGATCCACTGCAACCATTTGACATCCACCGTCCAATTTTTATGATGGACAGTTGAGATAAGATACAGACTGTTATAAAGTTTGTAGAGTGCAGGGAAGCAGGAAAGAAAAGGGACTCCCGTTGATGAGTGCCTAAAAAGTTGGTTTTCTCATTGCGCACCGAAAAGAGAGAAACTTTTGGAAATGACCGACCACAAAAAGATACAAAAGTAAGAGAGAGAACAAGGAAAATCTAGAGAGAGAAACAAAGGAGAGAAGAGAGAGAAAGTTTGAGCAGGGGAGAGAGAGAGAGAGATGGGACATTGCATGCTTACTTTGTACATGGACCTGCCGTTGCCGAAGATGAAGTCGATGGATCCCTCGATGTAACAGTCCTTCAAGTAATGCCGCCCCGCATCGTCACAGAGTGTGTCCTGTGCCCCATAGAATCCGCACCCCACAAACAGAGCCTTGTCTCCCGATATCCGGAATGCGGCCGCCTGCCACCCTTCCATCCCTGGCATTGGGGCCGGAGCCGTATTCTACAGACAAGTAAGATAATCAGCAAAATGACCCTAACCATGAAATTTTAGAACAAAAACCCTAAATTATCACAGTGCACTTCACCCGAGCCCAGCCCAGCCCAGCCCACCCAACCCTCTCAGGGCTGGAGCCATGGTCTACGTGGATGGATGCCTAGCCCCACCTCAATTTACCAAAATGACTTTATTCGTAAAATTATTCACTGGATGCATGCCAAGACTTCCACGGAGAGCGTTCCACACAACCATGACCAGGGCTACTGAAGTGGTCACTTGGATCCAGACCCAACCCATACCCTTTGTTGGGTCCAGTGAGCTCTGGGCCCCGATAAAAAATAAATAAATTTATTATAAATATTTTGTAATACATTAACAATATTACATATATATATATATATAAGGTTGGGTGACCTTGATCCAGATCCAACCTGACCTGACCCAATAAGGTAGACCCAATGTAGGTTGGATCTAGGTTATTTGAATCACAAAACCCAACCCAACCCAGTGGGGGTCTGACATATGAATCTAGACTCGGACCTGTGTTACGTCAACCTGTCAACTCGACAGTCGACCCAATCCAATTGCCACCGCTATTCAGGACCCTTTGTGTTTGTGTTGACCCCTAACATGGGCCTTCTAAAGCCTAAAAGTGCACCATTCAAGAGTGTCTCTAGGTTCAGCGGACCTGGATCTTGCAGGTTCCAGGTCTATTCCAAGGTTTGTTCCGGACCTGCTGGGTGAAGACCAGCTGGAAGCAGCCATATTGGCCATGTCATTAAAAAGACTCTACTCATACAATTACCATAATACCCTTGATGACCCAGCCTCAACTCTCGGAGTGGATGTTGGAGCCGTATTTTATAGAGAACCGAAACCGAAACCGAAAACGAAATTTATTAAGTTACCTAGGAGAGATCAACAATTTAATAATTTTATCCATATATTTTCCCTTATGTATAAAAGAAAAAAGAGCGCTCTTTCGACCGAGCTCACTTTTAAAGCATTTGGAGATCCTGACCACTCTTTTCCTCCATGGAAGTGCTCGGTTCTAGAGCGGTCCGAGGTCTCCATCGATCTTCAGACTGTGTTAAAGAAAAACTAAAAAATAAATAAATTTGGAAAAACCTTGTGTGTAATTATCATAAAAAATTAGCCATTTCATATTTTCCTATTTGTTTTTGTGTTTGTACGAAAATTACTCTTTTCTTTTTGGTGGGTGAGAGATGTAGAGAGAGAGAAGGCACACGTTTGTTTATGTGAGAGAGAGGTTCATGGTGATGCTCAGAGCTGAACAATATGATAGCCACAAATCTCCTCTCTCTCTCTCTCTACTAAAACACACATACGAGCAAGCAAAGAAGTGAATGCATGGTAATAAAATAGACCTTAAAGCTCATATTTCTAGCTGTGAAATGGTTAGAGAAGACAGTAACAGAAGCAGTGTTATAAGTTCGTAGTTGCTGGCCCGTTGGGCCGAGATCACTTGCTCGGTTGTGCCATTCGATAACCGTAACATCACGCCCCGCCCCTTGAAGCGTTATGAAAGCTTTACTTGCAGGCACCACTACCTTCTCTCTGCAAAAAACACACACCTCACCATTAATAATCTAGAGAGAGAAAACCCACATGTAATAACCAGCAATGTGTGTGGGAGAGGAAGAGAGAGAGAGAGAGATATATATATATTCAAAGGGGATTATAGCAAATTTGAGGAGAAAATAGAGAACCCACACGTAATACCCAGCACCAATTTGAATGGTGACATTCTCTGTGTTGCCCTCAGGGATTGAATCAATGGCTGCTTGAACAGTTAGAAAGTCGCCGAAGCCTTGGCAATCGACTGTAATCGTGCGTTTCCCGAGCGGTTTAAGCCATGGGTGGTGGCCCCTTGGTCGGGATTCAGACCCCAATCCTCCTAAAGTTGCCGAATTCAGCAGGAAAAACAACCCAAGAATCGTGAAGACATTGGGTTGCTCCATGAGAGAGAGAGAGAGGAGTTAACAGAGGGAGATGAAGAGAATTTATAGAGAGAGAAATGAACAATGGTGTAGAGAGAGAGAGAGAGAATAATACTAAGGAGTTAATAGGCGGTGGTATGAATGTGAAGGTATGTAAACCAAGAGGAAGGTGACATGAGATTTTCACGGGTGGTTTTTATTGATTCATTTCGTTTTAGCGGCGTCCAATTATCGTTCAACGGTCCGTATTCCGTTATCTTTTCGGTGCTTATTAAAAAGGACCACGCCCTTTGAACGTAATTACGATGGAGTCCTCTTGTTTTCAAATCATAATATCCATAGCTCAATGGAACACTAAAAAAACAAATAAAATAAAAATACCTAGTATTTCTGAAGCGCAATTACTAGTAATTACTACTTAGGGAACCTTCTTGCATGTCCCTGCATATTATTTGCAGTTTTATCCCTGTTTGGAGATCTGTGCCATTTGGACTTGAATGGATGGTTAGGATTGCATCGAAAAAAACGTCACAAGCATAATTATAAACTTATATTTGCTAGGAGAAACATAGATGTCCATATTTGAATAGATGGCTAGGATTAAGATAAAAAAAAATGTCACAAGTTGACACCCTATATGTTTATCTGGCCATGGATAATGCATGACATTGTTTGGGGCTCGTTCTCAATTTATGTATCCGATGATCAGATTGTTGAATATTTTCAAACATACGCTAATTAGTTAGGAAAATGTTTTGACGATGATGATGGTATACTACGAACAATACTAGTTAAGCGGATTTATTGGGGCAAAACTTCTAGGAGACAACCATGGAAACGGGTCTTTTAGTAGTAATATATTACTAAACACTTTACCCCCCACCCCTATCTTTTTTCACTTCTTTTTGGTAGAAACCATCGTTTCTTAAAATACCCCTTCCCGTACCTTGAACATGCGACCAAATCCTTCGGACGGACCCCAATAAACCTTTCACCTGACTGAGTTTCTAAACTACCGGAGTGCTTATGAGACAACAATATGCCGGGTCGAATATCTAAAACACTGGATTGAACCCACTCCAGTAGTAAAATTACCAGAGTTATATTACAAATCACCGGTCTCCAAAATAAACAAATAGCCAGACCGCTCGTAAAGATGACCGGACTGACCCGCCAGGAACGTAATTGCCGGATTGAAGCTCCAAAACTCCAGACTATTTGACGTAGCCATATTCAACTATGCCGGACAACCAGTGCATTCGTAGGAGTGCTTGTGTTTCCAGGAAGAATATCATCGGGGTGATGTGGTGAATTGTCGGATTGCAAAATATCTAGGGAGAAAACTACCGGTTCGATGTTCTTCACATGCCGGAGCGCTCTTCACAAGTGTCGGAGTTGTTATTTTACAGTGAACTACTCGTCGGAGCGAGTTCACTAAATGCTGGAGTGCATTCTAATGGTGCAGGAGTGCGTTTTACAAGTGCCAGAGTGCCTATTTTATAGTCAACTATTCACCGGAGCGAGTTCATCAATTGTCAGAGTGAATTCTAAAGATGTCGGAGTGCGTTTTACAGGTGCCGGACTGCCTATTTAACAGTGAAATATTATCCGGAGTGCATTCTCTACGTGCTCAAGTGTAAAATTGGTCGGTTAAAAAGGGAAGGGCAAACTTGTTTTTTTAAATTTTTTTGAGGTTTGGGGTATTAGTTATAAAAGTTAAATTTTGAAAAAATTTAGTGAAAAAGAATTAAAGTGGGGCAAAGTGTTTAGAAACTACATTTTGAGGTGTTTTTAGTAATTTTTTCTTTGATATTCTATTTCGGAAGGAAACATTTGTGACGAAAAACACGGCAATTTAATGACAATTTGTTTTTTCTGTCTTTTAGGCCGAAATAACGGTCGTCTCTGAGCAGTTCAGTGGCGAGTATGGCGTATAGCGTTTTGTATTCTTGACGAGACATTCGAACGTTGGGGAATGATAAGGAGTGTGAAAAGTGACAAAAATTAAACTATTTTTTATTCGTAAATTAATATTTAAATAATAAAAAGTCTAAAATGCCCATTGTTGCTTTTCATGCTTATGCAACTTAAATATCACAGCATTTTTTTATTATATTTTACTCGGGAGACTTTTAATACAACTACTTTTACAGTCAGTTCCGCATACTTGCTTTAAAAGGAAAGGCAACTGTATTAAATTAGTAAATGGTTTGTTACGAAGGAATGATTAATAAATGATTAAGGAATGATTAATGCAAGTGCAGTGAGATTTATGACTGAAAGCTTTCCCCTAGCGAGATTTGTCATTTTTTTGTAATGTTATTCGAATCTAAGGGACAATTATCGTTGTGGGACCAGCGGTGGCAATGGACCCGGATCTGATCCGGGACCCGAGGGTCGACCCAATCTAGGTTTGGGTATGCGTCCAAAACTTGGATCTAACAGGTCGGGTCTGGGTCCAAATCTTAAACATTATTCGAGTCTAGGTCGGGGTTTGAGTCTTATAAAATTTTCTAGGCCCCAATATATTAAGTGTATTTAAATATAGTTAAATACATAGATATTTTATTTTTTGGGTTAGGTCCAATTGGGTATGGGTCCCATGATATTTTTTTGGGTTCAAGTTTGATTGGGTCCTAGTCCAAGTCCAGGTCCATATCATTTTTTTGGGTCCATGCTGAACCAGACTCAACCCAACTAGTTGCCACCCCTATTGTAGGTCATCTCATAAACAATTTTAATGGGTGCGTATACCACACTCCCATGGGAGCATAGTTCACATTTACTGCCCCAATACGAAGATATGCTTGGGAGATTTGAAAGTTTTGGAACTATTTAAAAATTATTAGATGATTATTCTTGAATAAAAAAAAAATTGAAGTTTGAGTTTTCTTTTACTTAGATCTCACCATCTAAAAATTGGACAGTATCTTTTAAATTTTAATACATTATTTTTTTCAAATGCATAGAGCTTGCAATTAGGAAAGCTTTTCAAGTGCAACGAGTGAGTAGTTAAGATTGATGGCTAAGAAATACCAAAAAGAGTATACTTCCGATATCTTGGATCACTAATCCAAGAAAATGAAGAGATTGAGGAATATATTGTATAAAGAATTAGAGTTGGGTAAGCGAAAGGGAGATGTGTAAATAGAGTTTTATGTGACCGCTGCATATCAATAAAGCTGAAAGATAAGTTCCATAGGACAACTTTGGTAGAGTATTTGACGGTCAAGAAATAATATACACATAGAATGAGTGTAGCAGAAATAAAGATGTTAAGATAGATGAGTAACAAGACAAGAAGGGATAGAAGTTGAAATGAATACATTCAAGAGACTTTAGGTATGACACTAATAAGCGATGAGATGAACTAAAGTAGACAGCTTGGTTAGTCATGTGCAGTGTAGACCCAGTACAATAGCTGTTAGGAGGTACGCGTCAGTTCAAATGGAAGGCTAAAAAATGACAAGGGATAGGGCTAAAAGGATCTGGTTTGAAGTAACGAAAAATGATGTGGGGATAATGATCTCAGTAATGGTATGACCCTTGATAGATTGGAATGACAGAGTACGATTCGTGTAGCCAACTCCAATTAGTTGAAAAAAACCTATGATAATGATAAGGATGATATTGAGGTCAATCCATGATCTAAGAGGTTATATCTCAAAAATAAATTTGAAGTCCTAAAATTAATCCTAAGAGGGGTTTTACTTGAGGGAGCAAAAGTACAGTATACTCCCGAGGGAGTATAATATATTTTTCTTGGCTCACCAATTATAAGCATGATATTATCGTCAACAAATTTTATAAGGATATTATCGATTATGTCTTATTTAACAATTATTTATCAAAATTTTATGTGAAAGTTTCTTTTTTATTTGGATAATGTGGTTTAGATATTGATGTGTCACTTTTTACATTATTTTGAAAACCGTGTTAAATTCATACCATCCAATTAAAATAGACAGTGTAGAGCATCGTGACTTTACTTCTACAAATAATCTTACAACCTTATTCAAATCATATCTTTCTGACAACTTTATACTAATCATATCTTTATTAAAAAATTATATTATCTTTCTTTTTCAGGGAATATGACTATGTTTGAACTACTATTGCTCCCTACAACTATACATCTCTCGGTGAAGTTTGAACTTATGGCACATGTGGTCAATTGGCTGCAAAATGGTGTGAAAAAATACATTGGAACCAATTGATGAGTGTTGATGAGGTTTATAAGCATCACGGTTACCAAGACCGTGATGATCTTTCATGGCACAATTAGATATGTTAAAAGTATTTTAGGTATTAAAAAAAGTGAACAGTGAAAAAAAGGGTATCGTTGTAGTCTTCAAAAAGGTTGGTTTTTTCTTTTAAAAAAATATTTTTGATAATTTTCCAAATTTAATTAAATTAAAGAATTTAAAAATTACTTTTAATCTAAGAGAATGCAGGTCTGTCTCTCCTTCACATAATCATTCCTCCCTAAAATATTTCTTTATAAATCTTTGTGGCAGTTATCAAAATAAAATGACAAAGTTGTCAACATCATATACATCTATCTCGCTCTTTAACACGTACAAGGCTCAAACCAAGCCCTTATAAGTAAGGGCACACATCCAAGGCTTAACCACTCTTGACCACCCCGATAACTGTGTGGGGGTAGTTTTTCACACCGGGTTGTTGTGAAAATATTTATGTGAAAATATTTTCAAACGAAATAACTCTCATATAAAATGCGACGGGACCAATTAGTATGAAAACACTCGTACGGATGAGGTTTCTGCAAGGCTTAGACTATAAAAACAAAATAAAGCGTCACCTCAAATCCTTGTCCAAAGGCAATGAAAATATCTATGATAGCTCTAAAATCAATTTCCAACACCGACAATAAAATTTGAAACTCAAAAAATGGTATAGATCTTGCGGATCTATAAACACGTACTTTTAGGGCGAAATGGATGGTCTAGATAATTTGTTGTAATAACCATACTTTAAGAGATTGAAATCCTAATGTTTTTCACAACCATAATTTTCAAGCTAAGATGATCGTTATAAAGGTTTTCTAATACTTGAATTGCAATTTTAACCGGAGGCTTTACTTATTCAAACCATTTTGCAACTCTTACACCTAATCATCATTAAATAAATAAAGAAAAAATTTATATAAGGTTGCAGCTTTAAAATGTAGAATTACAAATGCATTTAAAAAATCCATTGGAGAAGGTTGTTTTAAATTGAAAAACCTTCTAATTGATCATCTTGATATAGAGATATAAGAATATGAAAAAGAATAAGATTTTGAGTGCAAGAAATAGTGCATCTTGCAACACATTATCTAGATCGTTTATTTTCAAGATTTTCATATGTTTATAGATTTACTTGATTTTAACTACTTTTGAAGGTTAAAATTTTATAATTAAATTTGAAAATATATTTTGAGATAATCTTAAGATTTTTTGACATCAAAATTATGATAAAATTTAGTGGTGCGCCTTAATTGGATTGTTTAAGGTTGCTCCCTATACAAACCACACCCATAAATAAATAAATAAATAAAACCCACACATAATCATTTGGGAGAGTTCTTTTATATGAAAATAACTATTTTCATACGAACCCAACGTGCCCCAGAGTTCAAAGGAACTAATTGAGATTCAGTACAAAATAATTTAAAAAATGTCCCATGCGACTTAGCCGTGGTGGAAAAATCGATAATTGTGGTGGATAATATAAGAGGACTATGTCATTTGCAGCATGGCAAATGCTACCTTACAAAAAAAAAAAAAAATAAATAAAAATAAAATAAAAAATAAAAATAAATAAATAAATAAATAATAATAATAATAATAATAAAACCTCCCTGGAGTGGCCTCCATTAGGTCATTGAGACTGGATTATAAGGTTAAAAGGGAGAAAATTCGAAGTTTTAATGAAATCAGAGCATTACGGGACTCAAAGTGTCAGCTCAAAGCATAGTTGCAACAAAACTTTGGGCGGGTCTGCAGTGGATGGATTTCCGGGCAATAAACCACAAAATCAGCCAATAAGAGATACCAACGGGTTGGGTTGGGTCCGGACCTAAGAATATTTCTTTTGAAGTTTGTGTTTGGTCAATAGAATAATGTATCCATCCAATTCGACATCTAATAGTCAAGATTAATTGTGACCACTTTGTACCAAAAGTAAATAGTCTCATTGTATACTTTTTCGTATATATATAAATATATATACATTCGGTTTATATAAAGCATCAATATTAAATAATCAAAGTAAAGCACACCTCTATATCCACCTGGAAGATATAGCTTCAGTGTTAGAAATCGCTTCGATGGCTTGTGGATCTATTTTTTAACCCTAATTACAAAAATCTAAAACTCTAAAAATGATGCAGATCGAACATATTGACAAACACTTGAATATCACATGGATTAAATCCACTTTTCATATCTATACTTGTTGAGGATGTGGAGGGTTTTCTAGCATTGAAACAACCATATTTAGTAGGTTTTTAAGGTTCGCCTAACTTTTATAGTATGAGGACCACGCCATATATATATATATATATATATATATATAGAGAGAGAGAGACACAATTGCATAAAAATTATGGTTTAAAGAAGGTAGGAGATATTGAGAAATGGAGCTGATTGGAGAGATAGAGAGCTTCTAGTTATGGAAGGAAACTAAGAGAGCCCAAGTAAGTTTGAACCCTGGAGAAGAAGCTCAAGAGAGCTTGGATCTTGCCCAAGATAATATTATAAAAATAAAGAAAAAATAAGTTTTAATATGAGATTGTGTTATACGGGGAATAACTAAGAAGTACATTCGTATTTAGTACACGTGTCGAGTCTCGAGTGCCTAGTACATCAACCCAAAATTCCAGTAGGGCGCCGACACGTCCATACAGATATGGGTGGGCAGGTCCCTCTAAATGAACCCATCAATCTATCCATGAATAAATGATTTTTGTTCAACAAACAAGCAAAGAAACAAACAATAGAAAAAATTGGATTGAATTGGATCTCATTTCCAAGATTAAGCAACTTCCCAACAAGTAGTAATAGTAGTTAGTTACACTGTTGCTGCTGCTGCTGCTTCTTCTTCTTCCTTGCCTTGTTTTTATTCTTTCAGTTGATTGGTTTGATTGAGTTAGAGGAATATAAGAAATATATGATGAGTGGGTGAAGAATAAATGAAAAGTAAGAAAATATTAAGAAGTGGTTAGGTTGATCGGGGTGTAGTCTGTGTCTTTTTTCTCTTCAAGTGTATGGGGCGGGCTTGGGCATGCGCTTGACGATGCCACAAAGCCTGGCATTGTCGGGCATGTTGTACTCGTCCCTGAGGGATCGGGCCGGAGAGACGACGCTGAGGTAGAGCTGCTGCCCCAGGTACTGTCTCTCCCAGAGCTCAGACCGCAAGCTCCACATACCGGCGTTGTCGATGGTCAGCAGCACTGCTGTCCACGAATTGGGGTACACCTGTATGGTGTGCTTGCTCACAGCGTCGAGTAGGTTGTAAACCTTGCGGCTTGCTGGTGTCCACTGCCCGCCGCTCATCCCGACGGCGAAGAAGGAGTAGCCATCGAGGTGCCACGACTGGATGCTCTTCTCCCTGTTCTCGAACACGATCTCGATGAAGTCACGGAAGTTCCCCTTCACCACGGCAGGGGCCAGCTTGATTTGGGGGGAAGCAGGTGGCATGTCGGCGATCGCCTTGGTGTCGAACACGCGGGCGGCCACACCGTAGTACTCGGCGAGCTTCAGAGGGGTGGAGGGGCGCACGTACGAGACACCATTCATGGCGTAGCGGAGCTTACTTTTGACGAATCCAACGGAGTTGGAGAGCTTAATGGTGCGTGTTATATTGATCTGGCCATAGTGGAATGAGCCCTGGGGGTTGGGGCGGGCAGCACTGGCAGTGAGGTTCCACCTGAAGGACCTGAACTGGTTAAGGGACCAGGCCACACCGGTAGGGGCCGGTGGGAGCATGAGGGGTGCGGGCTTCTTGGAGCCGGTGTAGTGGATGAGGGCTGTGGCAGTGTGGGTGTACTTGTTGGTGAAGCGGGTCGAAGCCACAATGTAGTAGTCACGGGGGACCTTGTTGGCAGTGACTAGGACCGAGTAGCACTGCCCCACGTGGACGTCGAGGGATTCATAAATGTTCTGTACGGTATGGGAGCCCTCAATCTCAACCAGCTTCAAGGTATGGCCCTGAATCCGGAAGTTGAGTGATGTCTTGAGGCCAACATTGCAGATGCGGTAGCGGTAGGTCTTGCCAGGCTCCATGTTGAAGAGTGGCTTGTTCGCCTTGTTGGGTTTGTTCATCCCATTGATGAGGACACCATCTGGCTGGCCGATGGATCGGCCAGAGTCGAGGCGGCGCCTTAGGGTGTTGTGGTCAGAGGCGTACCAGTCACCAATGAGAACAGTGTAGTCGTCAGCGGGGTCGTCAAATGGGACAGGGATATAGAGGCGGCTGTTGATTCGCAGGCCGCCAAAGGCACCGGCAGCCTTGTGCATGTACATGGAAGGGAAGTAGAAGTAAGAACCAATCTGATCCTTGACCTGGAAATGGTAAGTGAAGTTCTGGCCCGGGGGGATTGGACAGTTGGTCCCGGGCATCCCATCCTGCCAAGAGTTCTTCCTCTGCTGGATACCGTTCCTGCACAACACAGCATCATCATCATCATAATAAAATTCAGAAACAAATAACATGAAGGAAGGAGGCATGGGTGGCTTTTATCAGTGATGTTACCATGAGAGGAGGAAAGGTTGGTCCAGATTGTTGAAGACATTAACGACGATGTTATCGTTGGTGGTCGAGTTGATGTTGGGACCAGGGAACTCGTTGTTGATCAGGATAGCCTGCAATTCCATGATACATTTATCACGTTACATTTTTCAAGCATAATTCAAATTCTCTCTCCAACAAAATACTCAATAAAGAACAGAGAAAATTGAAAAAAATTAAAAAAAGAGACTCAAGAAAGAACCCAAACAGAGTTGATGGGAAAAGACATTGAATAACATTACTGCAGAAGCATTCCTTTTTTGTTGGGGGAATGAAAAAATTATCATTTGGCGATAGAAAACACAGTGAATTGAATGTTACTATCTTTTTGGGAATGAAAAACAAGAAATTAACACAAAGAAAACACCATTTGAGTAGTACCTTTTGAGGAACTCCAAGAGGAGATATGGTGCCATAGGTGATGTTCCAGTTGAAGTATCTGTAAGGGTTTTCCGCCTCAACAGAGAGATACAGGAGCGGGAGCAGCACCAACAATGCAATCCGAGACATCTTTTTGTTTCTTTTTTCTCAACTAGTTCTTTTGGGTTTTTTTTTTTTCCGACAAACAAACAATCACAAGTCCGTTCAAACAATTAACTCGAATGGACGTAGAAAGAATGACCTGCAACCAACCAAATATATGATGATCATACAATTCTCAACGTCTCTTTCTCGAGAAGTTTCATATATACCGCATGCATTACAACATACGAAAAGAGTAAGGCCGACAACAGGCCGGGTACAAAATGCAAAACAAGAATAGGGCCAGCAAAAGGCCGGATCAGATACCTTACGACAAGGGACGCTCTCTCAGACTAGCGCGAGGCCATGGTGGTGATTCCCGACCGGCGCTATTATCTTTGAGGTGCGCTCCTTTGAGAAGATGAAAAGAGGCTAATCGGGAGAGCGTGATGCATCCATCACTCTCCCCGTGCCTTATATAACCGCACCGCACCTCCGCTCTATGCGCCCACCCAAGACACCCGTTCAAACCCCACCCATTTCATTTTTTTATTTTTAACATAACAATTCTCTTCACATTGTACCGTAACCGTCTTTCTCATCTGTTTTTAGAGAGAGAAGGAGAGGTTTTTAGAGAGAGAGAGAGAGTGGATTTCTTTGGTTTGCCGCGTTCAAACATCGCTGTCCTTGATACGCGGGGGCGTGTAAGGTTGAGGTGCAAACGCGGAGTGACAGGCGGGAGTAATGTGCATGGTGCGGTCTGATTGCGTTTTTTTTCCCTAACTTCCTCTTCTTCATACGATATAACAACCTCTTCTTTTGACCTTTCCTTCTTTTTCTGTCTTTTTGTGTGTGTTTTAGAGAGAGAAACAGTGTTTTCTCTCCCGCTCCCGCCTCATTCTCGTCCCATTTCTTTGTTTTATAGAAAGAAACAGCGTTTTCTTTTCCTCTCCCTGTTCCCCTGCTCTCTCTACCCCCCACTCCACGTCTCTCTTCTCTCTCATCCCTTTTCTCTCTCATCCCTTTTCTCTCTCCCCTCCCCTCTCCTCTCTCTCTCCCTCTCTGCGAGCTTTTTGTTCCCTGTCTCACCTCACGCTCTCTTCCTCGCACCTGCCCTTTCGCCTCTCTCTCTCTCTCTCTCTCTGTTCGAGCTCCCGCAAAAAAAATCACCTACCTTCCTTTCGTATAACCCGAATCTGCAAATCAAATAATTTAGAAATTTTTCGGTCCATATATCAGTGTTGTTTGAGCTAGCATAGCTGCAAACCAGTGAAGCTTCTCGATTGAAGCTGAAGCGCCCCAATCGATTGAAGCCTAAGCTTAACCCTATCCTACTGGTAACCACAAACCAGGTATGTGTATTTCATCGATTTGGGATCTTTTTTTCCTGCTGATTAAACTGAGATTTTAATCCCTAAAGTTCGTGAAGACTTGGAAATTGGGAAAATCACATTGAAGCATCTACCCATGGAATCTGATTTTAAACCTACAAACCCTAAATTTTAGGGAATTTGTGTATTTTCTCTTGATTGCCTTTAATCAAGAATCGAGGCAAAAAAATGTTCTTTTTTAGGAAATGAGATTTCCACCATCGGTTCCACAGTATTGCCCTTGCAGCACAATTTTTTTTGAAACTGGGATTTTAGACTACAAAAATAAACCAATCAGATATCAAATTGCTATTTTATATATGGTAAATGGTGATTTTCATATTGGCTATCCAATATTGTATTATGGGCCACTGTCATTTGCATTCAAAAGACAGACATGGGTATTTTGGACAACATTTGACTTCGTATACTGATGTGAACGCTTCTTATTCAATTCCTGTAAATGGAAAAAATCTTACAAATTGTTTTGCTGTTATAAACATGGCATGACACCTCTCTTTCAAAATAAAACATAAACAAATGTCATGACACCTTGCTTTGTAGCATGAAATCAATTCGCATATTTTAGTTGTTTAAATTTCTTCTCACCTTAAGGATACACACAATCCTAATGTTCTGTGTCCGCATTAGAATTTGGTTAACTGGCATCAGTGTTTTTTCTCTTGTTCATGGCTGAAAAATTGATGAGCCTCATGCTTCAGGATGTAGAATCTGACAAATTGAAGTGCATTGCAACATACGAGATATTGTATTTTTTGGACTTTGTGCCCGACATTTTCCCCAATTACCCGATTTCTTATTTAATGGTTAATTGCGACTGTTTACTCCTTGTACCAAAAGTAAATACTTATTTTGTGTGTGTATGTGTGTGCATGTATGTATATACAGTCCATATAACTTGTTATAAGATACATTATTTTTAAGACTTGAAATTCTTCTCCATCTTTTCTTTATGTCCATGCATCTCAAAGTTGAGATGATCAATTGGAACGTTTTCTAACTTCAGAATTCTCTTTTCTTCTACATTTTTGAGGTGCAGTATAAGGTTGCAACATTATATGAACTTTTTCCTCTCTCTCTCTCTCTCTCTCTCTCTCTCTCTCTCTCTATATATATATATATATATATATATATATATAT